TATATATAAAATATCTTTCGTCCTTATCTCTCTCTCTCTCCTCCTTCTTTTCTTTATAATAATAGGTTACAACCTAGTGACACCTTTATCTTCGGCACTTATAAATAAGATGCCCCAAATTTGTTTTGATCGTTTGATCAAATATGTTTGACACAATTTTTTTGGGAGAAAATCGAAGGTAAAGTTTTTGCCCCTTGTTCAGTTTCTTTAAAAGAAAAGGATAATTTTCTCTATAACTAATCAAATATACACAGCAATGAAACCAAACTTCTCCTATAGGTATGGCATTGACCAAGTTTCGTGAAAATCAAGATTTCTGGAACCCCCGAAATCTGGGTTAGCCCCCATGTCCTGAAAAGCGACTATATTATATAAATAAACCCCAAAGCTTTCGTCCTTATCTCTCCTCCTTCTTTTCTTCATAATAATACGTTACTATTACTATCTAGTGACACCTTTGTCTTCGGCACTCGTGAGACTACAGTGGCTAAGTGAGTAGTGAGTTCAGACTCAAAAGTAATGTGCAGCACGTGTCAGTGATACGGGGTTTATGTGGGTGGTCACTGAGGTGTGTCCTTGAGCAAGACCTGACAACCCTAGCGAAAAGACCAAATAACAAAACAAAACAACCCCCCCCCCCCACCAAGAAAACCCAACAAACAACAACAAACAAACAACCAAACCCAGGGCGAGTGGCGACCAGCACTGGCATGTCTGTGAAATTGTTCTGCCCTTGTGTAACATTATTGTGTATTTATGTATGTCATTGTATTTATGTATGTCATTGTATTTATGTGTGTCATTGTATTTATGTATGTCATTGTATTTATGTGTGTCACTGTATTTATGTATGTCATTGTATTTATGTGTATGTCATTGTATTTATGTGTATGTCATTGTATTTATGTATGTCATTGTAATTTATGTATGTCATTGTATTTATGTATGTCATTGTATTTATGTATGTCATTGTATTTATGTATGTATTTATGCGGTATGCATTTATGATTATGGATTCATGTAGCCTATATGATATGTTTACCATAATAACCGAAATTTCCCCACGTGATCAATAAAATGTAATTTATTTTTACTATTACCATGTATTACTACTAGATCTATACTAAGTATTTTGAGCTACAAGTGTTGTGGACAAAACTCGTACAGAGGTAAAACGAAAACTGGTCGCTTTGAAGCACAAGGGGCTATCCCGTAAACATGCTGTTTAGAGAAAATCGAAGGTAGCGTTTTTTTTCCCCTGACTCAGTTTTTTAAAAGACAAGGAG